TTGTCTGATATTAACTACATATTATTGTAAAGAGAAAAAAAATTAAAGTACAGAGTATGATTGGTTTTCCAAATATGACAAAACAGAAGATACCTATAGAGTTTTTTTGTAGTTTCTTTTCCGGCCAGAGAAACCTGATTTTAAAATGGTAGTAAATTTTAAACATTTTAGCTTTTGTCAAATGAAATTTTAGAATAGACTAGAATAGAATAGAATCATTTTAATCAATATAAATCTTTACCACTGGTTCCGAAAAAACCTCTGTCCTGGAAAGAACCAGCCAAAAAGTTTTCATTTCATTTCAATCAATGTTTTTGTTACATTGAAAGAAAATATAACCACGGTAGAGGCGGTAGAGTTCACAGACAACAGTAACAAATAGACTGAAACACATTTTTAATTGTAATCACTGTGATCTAACGGTGGCATTTCTTTCGACCGCATCCGTCCTTTGAGCGATCGCCGGCCATCGACAGACACATCGATACTTATCTGACAAGTTCAGATAATAAAGGAGATGCGGGCCCAATGGACCGACGATAAAAGTTCTTAAGATTACAATTTAACAGTAATTGCAATGTTATGTCTACTGTTTAAAATGCATTTTGAGATAAACCTTTAAAAATACGCGTCGCGTTTTAAACAGCGGCTGTGTCATGTAAATTTTACGTTAAGTTATACAGAGTGCATCTTGCATTGTAATAACTTGCAAGTAGTTCCTCATTATGTTATTTTTTAAGTAATTGTGACAAACGTGTACACAGTTCACCTCATGGTATGTCAGTGGTTTGACTCGTAGACGTCTACTATCCTCAATTAGGAATCAAAATGCAGATGCATCTCCATACTTGAACACATGATATTCAAAACGATATTGGCAGCAGCGACTTCTTAATGACGTCTAAAAATAAAAAAAACTGCAGTTGCCAACCCGCTCGCGAAGCTTGGCAACTATGACCAATATTCTCGCTTTGAGGCAAACTACGGGAGCGGATTATGCTCAACAGTGGACTTTAATAAGCTGCAGTGGTAGTAAAATGGTTTCTTGTGAGTTAACATATATAATATTTATAGAAATAAACCGTCATCGTCAACATCACCGTTACAGCCTCTCACAACCCCAGCTTATAGACCTTTTTATACGTGGTAGAGGCACGTTGCAGCCGTGTGTTACGGTTGTAGCTCGAATGAGTCGGTTCGACTGGAGTAGCACTACGCTCTCACAGAATACCAGCGTAAAATAGCGGGTTAATGCTGCTGTATTTCGTATGGCGATTGTAGAAAACCAGAGACCTTTTTTACTGGAAACGAGGAATTCCATCTTAGTTCTCAGAGTTAACCACGCACCTGCATTTTGATCGTTAACTGTTGGGAATGTAGATGCTTATGGACTACAGCGTCTGCTTACCATCAGGTGGACTGTATGCTCGTTTGTCACCCTTATCCTATTAAAAAAAACTTTTCCCAAAGACTGACACAAAACACTGACCTGAGCAACCTGCGTCTATCAACTTTCTGCATATTTTATCAGGTCGTCATTCCAACATTTGGGCGACCACCCTACATATAGCTTATTAGCTTTATTACGAAGTCTATTACGGACAAAAACTCTGATCATAGCCTTCGTCTTAACTTACTGAAAGACTTTTGAGCTACATACGAACATCTGTAAAGATATGCGTCTCAGTATCTATAAGTCGCACTACTAAACAAAATTTCAGGTTAGACTTGATACATCAATTAACCTTCATTTACTTTCAAACTTTGAAATTTGCAACCTTCATATACTTACACATAATAGTAGTCTTAATAATCTACCATAGATAAATAATTCATAATCTATATAAATCTGCAACTATCAAGAAAATCACTCCCTATCTAGCTTTCTCACTGTACAACAATACATTCACGTCACCTTTTCCGCAACAATTACCTTTTTTTTACGTTACCCCCACACTACGATTTTCTCCTTCATCGCAGTGGCAATTTACAAACATAAATTGCACAAGGATAAACATTCGGATCCGGAACAATTATGTGTAGGCCAAAAAAATACTTGTTCCGTGCGGGATTCGAACCCACAGCCCCAAACGCTGAAAATTGAAATTTATTCGTTAATGAATTATGTTATTCGTCAAAGTTATGGCTGAACGCTAGACAAGCAGCCAGGGCCGGCGTAACCTCTCCACCCGCCACACCAGCTAACGTTACAAGTCGCCTGTATCCGGTGAAACCATAATCGATGAGGTTCCGCTTAGTTTTCTAATCATAAAGCCTGTTTTATTATGTATCTATTTACCTATTTAGAAAATGACCTAGATATGAAGATTTACACATCCACTATCACAAGCGACTGGATTACTGCAGTAAAACTATAAGCGACTATGATAAAACTTAATTGGAATATACAGGTTTAGTAGTTGTAATATATATTTTAAAAAATACTTTAAATATTTATAAGAATTTTGTTGCAGTTAAGATTTAAAAATTATGGGAATTAAAAGATTTCTAAGCAGATTAAGAAAAGATATTTTTAACGCAAGTACTATCCAAATCGATCACGCCAACATATCCCCACATGGATTTTCAATAACCTATAAAAATCAAGAAATAAATGCATACTCACAGCTCAGGATTAACATTGATAGGCTTTTGGCAGCACCTTTAATCGTACTCTGGTATTCTGTGAGAGTGTGGTCCTACCTCGGTCGAGTCTTCTTGTCGCCATTATTGTTTTCCTTTAAAAAGAATTGTTAGCAATACTAAAATGCTTATGTAGGGAGTTTTCCATCCGCACCCAAGTATTAGGCTACTGTCGCGTAAATTATGCTGTCATTTTATCATTTTTAAGAGCGTAATATTAATACGTTATTAATACTTTTATAAGTTTTGAATGCGGCTCTATTACTAAGGATTTTAGTATTAAGGATACGTTCTAATTAATCTCACCTATATGTAAAGTAGGTGCTCCGGGCTACTATTTATCAGAAAATATCCAACAATCGTTTGAACCAAGATCACGTTCGCGTTTAAACCCACTACACCAAAGAGGCAGTCACATGTAACGAAATAATACTTCAAATTATTTTCGTTTTTACTGCAAGTAAACAATTCGTGTCAGGTCCCAATTTTAAAAATCATTTGCATTTTAATTATTATAAGAGGTTACGGGTGAAGTTTAGTAGTTTAGTTACGATATAGGAAATTGAACAGAACTAACACGTCATCTCACGAGGAGACGTGATTATGACGTATACGCTTTTTCAAACAACATCTTAATTCCGCAATAAATAGAAACGTTTAAGAGCAAAAAGCACATTCTGAAAGCGCGTGCGATCTCTAATCGATGCGGTAATTATTTACAACTTACTTACATTACTTACAACTCCTCTGAAGTTGTAAGTAATGTAAGTAACATAACTTACAACATTAGACTAAAAAAGAGAAGATAGAACACCACTTACATTTAAAGAGACATTTAAGCCATACTCAACTATTTGACGTGCACTCACGCACATATCTTTGTTTTTTCTTTCTTTAACGTCCCTTAAAGCACGGTAATTTTTATAGATAATATTACCGTGCTTAAAGTCCAACGCACACATTTGCACTTAAAACCATATTGTTTTTTGCAAATGACTTAAGATGCATATGGGTTTGTTCATAAAAAAACAAGGGACAAACGAACTTTCAGGCCACCTGACGGTAAGTGTATACGGGGGCCCACGGACAACTGTAACCTACTACAAACAAAAAAGCTACAAATGTGTTGTCAACTCTGGGTACTCAGAGTCAGACTCAGACCGGACAGCAGTATAAGCACGGTTCCTGGTGACAGAAATAGGTAAAAAGGTGCCCCAGACTTACCCAGTCTACAACTACATACCCATCGGGACTTCGATAAGGATTCCGACCACCTTAAAATACACAAGTACAGTGTTCAATATTACAATATAAATCGCTAAAGAAATTTGGTTCAAAAATCAAACTGAATTACAATTTTAAACATGATAACTACTGTCGGTATTAAAAAAGCAGGTGTTATCCGAATATAAAATCTGTTTGATCGCGTGTCCGTCCATCAATACTTGTTGGCGAGATCGTGACGATTCAGCCAGGGGTCATTGTTGGGCGCCGATTGATTTATCCGCTCCCAATGATTTAGACCTTACAGCATGATTTATGTTCGCGTGTTCGATTGTCGGTGATTGATGATGTCTTTTAGAGGAATTATGCTGTTTGTTGTTTTAATACGTTTAATTAATATCGTGATACATCTTAAAGTGCTAATTTTTCACATTTCAATTTTCATTTATAAATAATTTTTAAACTAAAAATTTAAAAATATAACTTAAATATCAATTTCAAAACTGAAGCCCAATCTACGAGTAGTCGTAGTCGTTAAAGTAAAAGAATATAGTTACAACCTTTAGCTGTGGAAGGAAAAGGGGAGATCTACCACCGGGCAAAGTGTTCAGCCCGAGTAGCGGCAAACGCTTTACCTGAACTGTTCTTTAAGTAGCGCAGTACTTTGGAACTTTGATAGCGTGACTGAGACTTTCGTGCGTTTCGCTTGTGGGGCGACGACAGCGCCGTATGCTGTACACGTCCCACTAGTAGGGACTGGCCATCCCTCGTTTCTGAGAGAGGTTTCGAGAAATTTATTCCCTTCGCTACTCTGGTACGTGTTGGCTGACGACGCCTTAGAAATATTTTATTGCTCAGACAAAGACTTCCTTACGATGTTTTCCTTCATCACAGAACACGTGGTGAATCAGTACTTAAATTTGTAATTTACAATTTCATTGGTGCCGGTAGAATCGAACCTAGATCTTGCGTACTATGAAGTGTACAGCGAGCGCTTAGAACCTGAGATACTATAGGTAGTTTAATAATTACGGACAGACAAATAGACATGAATACACACCAATAATATTACCCTCCTTTTGTGTTCCGCTTCAGTGGAGTAAAACGATAGTAATTGTGATTTTTGTTTACAGGCCTGTTTGCCGAAACTGCGTGGTATCACCAACCGGCTCGTCACCGCCTCCGCTACATGAACAGACATCATCACCGCCGCCTCCCGCACCATCATCACCGGTCACATCACCGCGTCTTCCTCCTTCACTGCCCTCGCCACAACCAAGTCACAGCGGCTCATCTGTACCGAGCCAGTCCAATTCACCCCATCCCTACTCATACCCTAACTTCAGACGGAGTCAACCGCCTCCAGGTCAAAATTTTCCGGAGTACAACCTTCTACACAGTCACAGTGTCTCCCAACTTAATCAACCAAGTCACAGTTACCATTCCCCGCAATCTCCTCAATCAGCAATGTCTCTATCTCCTCATCCTGTTCCTCAAGGCAAGCTCAGGGGATTGTTGGAACACGCCGAAAGACTGATAAAACCAGGCGATCCACACCGGCACTCGCAGAGCGATGATGACTCAGGGTGTGCGCTGGAGGAGTACACGTGGGTTCCGCCGGGACTACGACCTGAACAGGTAGAGTAAAGCTAACAGAACTTCAATATTCATTATTGGCGACTTATTATTATGTTATCAATTATCATTACAGCCTATTAAAGTCCACTGCTGAACATATGTCTCCCTATATATTGCCTCGTAGGGTGAGTATTTGCCACTCTGCCACGCTTGGCAAGCGGGTTGGCAACCGCAGTTTTTTTAGTCGGTATCAGGAAGACGCTGCCGCCCAACTCCTGTTTTGTTTCCCACTGTCGCCTCTCACAGTACCCACAGGATGCCATGGGGTAATGGACATTCTTATGTAAAGATTCTTAATTCAATTCTTGGCGTAAGAGGCGACAGAGGGAAACAAATCAGGAGTTGGGCGGCAGCGTCTTCCTGGTAACAACTAATAATATGTAATTAATGTTTAAATGTATTGTAATTTAGGAATAATCTAATCTAATATGAATAACCTAATCCAATGTTACTAATATTATTTAAGATGAATAATTTAATTTATTATTATGAAGATGTAATCAATGAACTACGAATGATATTTGACATTTGTATGCCCGTGAGGCTGATCACAGACTGAACTTTATTTGTATTCAATTAAGACCTCTTGTAACCTGTGAATCACAAATAAACTATTTCATTTGATTTGATTTAAGGAAAATCCGCCTATTGGTGACAACTGTGGCAAATATTACACCTGTGGTGATATCTATGGAGGAGATCTGTGTTCGAATCCGGAATTTTAATGGGACTGTACATATATAATAATAATAGCGACCCACCCCAGCTTTTCCAGGGTAGGATTTTTAATGTGGCATTATTTAGATTGAAAATAGGTAATTAATTTAAATCAAAGATGACATATTTTATCACTTGTTCGATTTTTAAAAAATCATACTTTTTCGAGCATACTATAGCCCATATCACCTGACAATGCTGTTCATCTATTCATGAAATATCAATACAAACGGTTCAACCATTCAGAATATTAGCTCGGACAGGCAGACAGGCAGATAGTCATACGTGGTAGAGCCATGCTGCAGTTATATTAGTTGTATAGTTGTAGCACGAATGGGTCGGCTCGACTGGGGAAGTTGCAGTGCTGCTGTGTTTCGGTATGGTATGGTATGGAGCCGTGGTAGCTCAGATGGTTAACGCTCGCTGTAAATATAAGAGAACGCGAGTAACCCGGATTTGATCCCCGCCGGCACCAATGAAATTCTTAATTGCAATTTTAAGTTGAGTTTAAATTGAGTTGAATGTGAAGTTCGCGAACACGCAATGGGGCAGCGCGGCGGACACTTCCTTGCCCTAAAACCCTCTCAGAAATGAGGGGAGACCTGTGCCCAGCAGTGGGACGTATATAGGCTGTAACTTTACTTTACTTTTTACTTTTACTTTACTTTTTCGAATGGTGAGTGTATAGAGAACCGGAGACACTTTTTACTGGAAAACGAGGCATTCCATCTTAGTCGTCACGGGTGACAACGCATCTGCATTTTGATTTGTAATCGAGGATAGATGTAGATGTCTGTGGGCCACAGCATCAACTTACCATCAGGTGGACTGTGTGCTCGTTTGTTACCCTTATTCTATACTTTTGTATAAATTTAAGGCACAAATTTAAAAATGTTTATTTGTGTCTTAACGGCATGCAATAAACCCTCGGCTATAAAAATAATAAAAGACAGTTATTTGAATATTACAAATAGAAACGTCTATTATATTTATATGTATAAATTAATTATTCTTCATCAGCATATTATGGTTGTAGCACGAATGGGTCGGCTCGACCAGAGGGGCAACGTTTTTACAGAGTACTAGCGTAAATTAGCAGCGTGATAGATTAAAGATTCGAACCAGCAACACTTAGCGCTGCAACTCATTGCTAGCTGCTACTGCGTCACGGAGCCGTCAATTGGTCCAACTGTTTCGAAGATTAGCCCGGACAGACAAACAAATAGGCATGCAAAGTGCAAACAACCCCTCAGCTCAAAAATAGCAGTTATTTTTAACCGACTTCGAGAATGAGGATTCTCAATTTGAGTGTATGTTTCTTTTTGCAGATTGTGAACTGATTTAGTAATTTTTTTCGTAAATAGTTTGGTTATACTTTAAAAGTGTTCCCATATTAATGTGTAGGAAAAATTCCACCTCTAAGGGTTGCTAATAAAGGACATTTTATTTTAGTAAATTGAAGTCGGTTTTTACATTTTGTTAAAAGTTATAATTATTCTATCACAGATTGCTACTATTAGGTAAATAATATGAAAATTCCTAAAATTATTAGTAAAATATGCTTAATAATAATACTTCATACGTCACTATCTATTAATATTTCATGAATCTCAAACTAAATCTTCCAAATATTATAATTCGAGACATGGAATCCTAAAATCTAGACAATCGCAGCAAGAACGGACATTTGTTACACAAGCCAAAATGTCTTTCATTTCAAAAATTTGCATTTCTTGCTCGCCTCCCACTATTCGTGCATTTTATTCGTTAGAATTTAGAATAGCTTGTATTATATAAATAATACTATAAAATAGTAAAAGCATACAGTACACAGTATTGTAATGCAGTAACTTAATGATGAATGACACAACGGTAATGTAATGAAGAATGTACAAACATTGCATTATTGTTTACATTAATTAATAATAATATTATGTCCAGCGATTACTTGCGAGACTGTGAATTTTGTTTTTTACCACTTTTTGGGTCCGTGTGTTCGAATGAAATTTGGTAATTAAACTAACTTTCCGATGAGATCGAGATTAAAAATTTTGAACTTGGCTCACAATCGAATGAATATATATAAAAAAGAGGTATATTAAAAAAATGGAAAAAGAAAAAAATAATTATTTTCGATTTCCTGAATATTGACAGACAATGTTGGAACGTTGCATAATATTATATAACACGTGGTGGAGCCACGCTGCAGCTATATTATGGTTGCAGCACGAATGGGTCGGCTCGACCGGGGCCACAGGGACCACGCTCTCACAGAATACCAGCGTTAAATTATTACTAACTTAATGCTGCTGCTGCGTATGGTAAATATAGAATCCCAGAGCCATTTTACTGGAAAATAAACACTTCAGTTTAGTCCTCAGGGGTGACAACGCATCAGCATTTAATTCCTTATTGAGGATAGATGTAGGTGTCTTTGGGCAATAGCATGCACTTACCTGACTGTGTGTCCGTTTGTCATACTTGTTCTATTACTTTTTTAAATCAACAATCATCCGAAAACTGTACGTCTTATCAAAGTCACTAAATTAAAACTTATTAAAAAAATTACCTTTTTTTTAAAACTTATTAAACAGTGATAGAAAGATATCCTTTTTCAATGAAATCGTTGCAACGACTTAATATGCCCTTTCTTTAGAGCTAAAATTTCCGCAGCACTCCGATCGAAGTTATGCACTATTGTTGAATATACCATAGACGTTTGAGACAGCTACACTGGTCTTCTTAAAGCTTTTGTTTCCACCACAAAGCTATTGTTTTGAAAGTCTACGTGCTTTCGGTTCATTCCGTGACTGTACTACCAAACTATTCACTGGCTATAGTTTGAGCAATATTTTGCACTGCACCGTCATTATTAATATTCGCAACAAACAATACTTTTGTAGTAAGTTTTTATATCAATGGTACTTTTGTTCTTTTCCCTATTAGCAATTTTAAAAAGAACAAGCTATACAATGATAAGGGAGTCTGTATTGATTTTAGAAAGTATCGAACTAAAAGGAAAAATGTTTAAACAATCATCTGATGGTAAGTGGTTGCCGTGGTCCATAGACATGCGTTGTCACTCCTGAGAACCAAGATGGAATGTTTCATTTCCAGTGAAATGGGTCTCCGGATCTCTACACTTACCATACGAAACACAGCTTCATTAAGCTGCTATTGAATGCTGGTATTCTGTGAGAGCGTGGTCCTTCCCAGGTCGAGCCGTCCCATTTGTGCTACAACTATGACATAGCTGGCTGCATGGCTCTATCACGTATACATTTCTTCATCAACATCAGCACTTGAACATCCACTGCTGGAAAAAGGCTGATTCGCATATCGGAAGGGAGGATTTACTCTAATCTTTACACCTTTTTGTGGGAGCATCATTACTAGACGGTCATAGCACCAGATTTCTAATACGTATGATGCTGCTGCAAGTCGCTGGCCTGGGTACTTGTGGGAAGTCAGAATGTGTCAAAAAAGTCACTTCATGTCTATAACAAACCAGGCATGGGTACTTGTGGCAAATCAGAATGTGTCAAAAAGGCACGTATATCAAATCACAATGCTGTGTTGGTCCTTAGGTTAATGTATGGTAGTGAAAATAAGGTATGGTAGATAAAGCATGTAAGTAAAATTAATGCTATAGAAATCAGGTCATTAAAAAGCGCACTAGGTGTGACTCTACAGGATTAAAAATTGTGTGATAATAAAGAAGTGTGATTTGCAAGAAAATGTTATGACCAAATTAAGAAAGAAAAGCTTCGGGGTTTGAACATCTAGAAAAAAAATTTAAGAAAAATTGATAAACCCAAATACTGTTAAAGTGAGCGGCCGAGATATTGAAGTTAGGCCACATTAAGAGTGCCCTCAACCAACAAGAATGTATGCGTAGATATATGGATGAAATATAAGCGAGAGAGATGTATTAGATATATGGATGAAATATAAGCGAGAGAATTATTAGATATTGGTGAAATATAGGAGAGAGATGTATTAATATATGGATGAATATAAGGAGGGGTTAGATATTGGATGATTAAGAGAGGTTAGATATGGATGAAATATAAGCGAGAGAGATGTATTAGATATATGGATGAAATATAAGCGAGAGAGATGTACCAGAAATGTGCCAAATGGTCCCTAGTGTCAGCTTGCAACTGCGTAAAATGGAGGAGCTAGTTGACAGGTGTGAGAATTCATAAGTATTCGGAAATTGACAAGTGTTCTATTAGCTGCTACTGGTACTACTAAAATGGAGGAGCTAGTTGACAGGTGTG